GTGTTTGGATAGCTCAGGCTTGCACAGGCAAAAAAAATATATATATAAAAATAAAAATAAAAAATAAAAGAGAAAAAAATCTCACCTTTAATGTTATGTTTGGATAGCTCAGGCTTGCACAGGCAAAAAATAAAATAATAATAATAATAATAATTTAAAAAAAATAAAAAAATATCTCCCCTTTAATGTTGTGTTTGGATAGCTCAGGCTTGCACAGGCAAAAAAAATAAAATAAAAAAAATAGAAAAATATCTCACCTTTAATGTTGTGTTTGGATAGCTCAGGCTTGCACAGGCAAAACAAAAAAAAAATAATAATAATAATAATAATTTAAAAAAAATAAAAAAATATCTCCCCTTTAATGTTGTGTTTGGATAGCTCAGGCTTGCACAGGCAAAAAAAATAAAATAAAATAAATTAAAAAAAACGAGAAAAAGATATCACCTGTAATGTTATGTTTGGATAGCTCAGGCTTGCACAGGCAAAGAAAATAAAAATAATAATAATAATAATTTTTTAAAAAATATATATATATCTCCCCTTTAATGTTGTGTTTGGATAGCTCAGGCTTGCATAGGCAAAAAAAATAAAATAAAAAATATAAAAAAATAGAAAAATATCTCACCTTTTAATGTTGTGTTTGGATAGCTCAGGCTTGCACAGGCAAAAAAAATAAATAAATAATAATAATAATTAAAAAAAAAAAAAAAAAACCTCCCTTTTAATGTTGTGTTTGGATAGGCCTGGCTTGGACAAGAAAAAAAAAAAAAAAAAAGAGAAAATACATCTCACCTTTAACGTTGTGTTTGGGTAGCTCAGTGGCACCTTATGGAAGGTGCTGTTGGCGAGCACCGCCTGCCTGATATCTTCGAAGATGGTGACTATATCGTCCAGGAGGCAGCGCTTGTCCCGGTGGCTGAGGACGCAGAGGTGCGCGAAGGTGTAATTGAAGCCCTTGTAATGGACGCGCAAGCCCAGCACGCGCTCGTGCACCCGCAGGACCTGCTCGGCCAGCTCCAGGACGTTGCCCCCGGACGCGGCCAGCAGGATCAGCCTGCCGTAGCGGCCCGGCGTGTGCAGGTCCGAGTACAGCTTGTGCTTGGAGCGGTCGATGGGGAAGAGGCTGTTGGCCAGGCTCCGCTCGATTTTGGCCAGGCTGTGCGTCGGCGCCACCAGGACCTCCAGGTCCCGCTCCGGCCCGAACCGGCTCAGCGCGGCGGACCCGAAGATGATGGTGAGGACGGCGGGCACGGTGAGGAAGAACACGGGGTGCCTGCTGACGAATAAGCCCAACCAGTAGAACGAAGCCTTGAGCCCTCTGTGGATCACTTGCCGCAGCATCCTCCACACACAACAACAGAAAAAAAAAAAACCAAACCCCGCTCTCCAGATGCCCCGTCTCTCCTCCGATTGAAGCACACGTGACATCCAACTCCGTTTTTTTCCCCCCCGGTTTGGTAAAAGCTACAATTCGTGAAGAGAAATTACACTAGGCTATAACGATGCTATCACGCGCACGCACACGCGCACGCACACACACACACAGACATACATACACACAAACGCGCGCACTCAACACCTGGAAAAAGCAGCACTGCAGTAACTCGCGGGCACAGACAGACGGACACACACACACACATATACACACACACACGCAAATACACACACACACACACACACACACAAGACAGGCAGACATTTAGAAAAAAAAAAAAAAAGCATCGCGCAATCTGGCGATGGAAAAAAAAGCAAGACCGTGGAGTCTGATCTCATCCCGTTCCCGCCACCGCCAAGTCTCCCTTTTTTTTTTGCAGCAACGAGCCATGGCGCTGAGGCGCGTGCATGTGGCGTGCGTGTGCACGTGTCTGCCCATTCAGCTTCTTAAACCAGCAGAGAAGTGTGTGTTTTTTCTTAACCGTGACACTGTGTGTGGCGGCTGCAGAGGAGAGGAGAAAAAAAATGTCTTCAAATTTCTTTTTTTTGTTGTGATTTTTTCCATGTATTTGGACCTTAAAAAAAGAACATTACAATTTCAATTTTTTTAAAAATATATATTTTTAATTTTCATTTCATAGCATGTCCACTGTGGAGGACAACGGGACGATTTACATGGGAAAATAAGAACAGGCTTTAGATAATTAAATAATAAAAAAAGAAGATGTCTTAAAAGGGATATTTACCTAAGAACTCTTAGGAAAAAAGTCAAGTTCCCAGCATGCAAACCTATCACATAGCCCAGGATGTCCTCTACAGAACACTATAGGGCTTGATAGGGTAACTCCAAATACTTAGGGGGGGGGTACAGGTGGACAAAATGTCCACTATAATGGACATAAATGAATGGGCCGGGTCTCAGGAGGTTAAAGGTCTTTAAGAATACGTTAGGCAACTATAGGGGACAGAGTTGTACAGTGGCCTATTTCTGCTGGTGGCTGAATGACCATCATTTATGGCAGCAATGAGTCACTGTTGGCTTCATGAATGGGGGAAAACACCAGGCTTGTGCTGTGCTGCATGCTGGGAGTGGCCAGTTAAAGGCCATACAGGGTGCTATGAAGCACCAGAGATATCCCATTTTTATTTCTATTTTTTCTTTGTATCGTTCAAAATATATATATTTATTTATTTATTTATTTAATCAGGACAGTGCACATTAATGGACAATCTCATACAGATTGTAAACGAGCCAGATTATAGCATAGTTTGCTAGTTTACATCTGTGGTCCTGAGGCAGGAAGACCAAACAACACAAAATCACAAAATACAAAATCAGTCCAAACGCACGTTCAGACAATGACATTACAAAATTAGAATTAATTAAATTCAATTCAATTTTATTTATATAGCGCCACATCACAACAACAGTTGTCTCACAGCGCTTTCCAAAACAGAGCAGGTCAGACCCTACTCTGAAGTTAATTACAGAAAAACCCAACAATTCCCACCATGAGCAAGCACTAGGCGACACAGGCGAGGAAAAACTTCCTTTTAACAGGCAGAAACCTCGAGCAGAACCATGGCTCAGGGTGGGCGGCCATCATAACATTAACTCAAACCGCTTCTGTTGAGAAGGCTTCTCTTACTTTAAAATTGACGTTAAATAGTAGAACGATAATATTACGGATTAATGTCTTTTTCAGTTTCTCACAATTAACTCTGCAATTGAAAATAATTCAATGATATGACTGATGATATTTAGCATGACTCATCACTATCTCATTCCAGTTAACATCTTTTCTTAGCCGCCCACAGGAGTTATGCTGTTAGGTACTTCCTGGGTGCAAAATACTAGTCTTGGTATGCCCACTTGAGTAAACCAAGAAGGACCCACATATGCAACTAGTGGTTAGCTGTTAGCTGTCCTTGCTAATAAAAATGTGCGCAATTGCTCATGCACCTGATATAATAAATTAATAGGGAAATAAGTATGACTTTGTGACCCATTATGGTCTTGGATAAAATCTCCAGTGGCAATTAACAATAATTAAGTATATATTCAAAGGCAATCACATATGATAGTTGATCCACCCACTTGGCAACATACTGTGTAAAAAATACTGTCTTAAAAATAGAGGCATTGGCTCAACTATTACTTTTTTCTCACTTACATAAAACCACATGGAAAACGCTTCGGATTGTAATTCTTCTAATGTTGTAACAGTCTGACACATGGGATTGCGTTTATATTATCTGAGTTTTTTTCAGTCTGAACCATATGAACCAACATTTGAAGCTTTTTCATGTAATCTAAAAAATCTTGACCACATACTGTGTAAAAATACTGTCTTAAAAATAGAGGCATTGGCTCAATTATTACTTTTTTTCTCACTTACATAAAACCACATGGAAAACGGTTCGGATTGTAATTCTTCTAATGTGGTAACAGTCTGACACATGGAATTGCATTTATATTATCTGAGTTTTTTTCAGTCTGAACCATATGAACCAACATTTGAAGCTTTTTCATGTAATCTAAAAATCTTGACCACATACTGTGTAAAAATACTGTCTTAAAAATCGAGGCATTGGCTCAATTATTACTTTTTTCTCACTTACATAAAACCACATGGAAAACGTTTCGGATTGTAATTATTCTAATGTGGTAACAGTCTGACACATGGGATTGCATCTATGTTATCTGAGTTTTTTTTAGTCTGAACCATATGAACCAACATTTGAAGCTTTTTCACATAATTTTAAATTTAAGTATTAGAGGAACACTCCCAAAACAACCATATCCTCCTGAGACCCAAAGGAAAAAAGTGTCTTCAAATTTCTTTTTTGGTGTGATTTTCCATGTATTTGGACCTAAAAAAGAACATTACAATTGAATTTTCTTTTTTTTTTAATTTAGTTTTAATTTCATAGCATGTACACTGTGGAGGACATGTTTATCAAAACATAAATAATTAAACTGTTTTCAGATGTAATAATATTGTTGATGACACATTAATAAACAAGAATATATATAATTATCATGGTAAAGATAGCAATAGATAAAAAATATTTGACTTACCTCTCCTCTTTCCATAAAATGTGGTTGTTGGTATGGCAGCCATCTTGTGAAAGGAAAAAAGTAAAGTTCCCAGCATGCAAACCTATCAGATGGCACATCACTGGAAAGCCCAGGATGTCCTCTACAGAACACTATAGGGCTTGATAGGGTAACTCCAGATACTTAGGGGGGGGGTACAGGTGGACAAAATGTCCACTATAATGGACATAAATGAATGGGCCGGGTCTCAGGAGGATATAGAATGAAAAACTTTGAGGGTTTATAATGAAGAATATGACCTGAGCTATAAGAGTCTTAAAACAAGGCTTTTAAGCACAATCATGGATATCAAACCTCCCACAGCTGGCACAGTGTCATTAAGAGTTTATTGTAGAAGACATTTTATTTGAAATGTTAATTCATTATTCCCAGAGACTAAATGTATTCAAATTCATCCTTTAAGTGCCATGCCATTGCGGGTATTCTGACAAAACTAGATTGAGGAGTTTTTTGGTCCAATTTGTGAAAAATGCTTTGCACTACCAGCCTTTACTCTCAGAGCTATAAAAAAAAAAACCCTCCTCTACTAAAGGACTTAATCAAAATCCACTCCCTGATCCATTCCAACCTAGCCTCTGATTTTATTTATGTTTATGAATTTAGCAGACCCTTTAATCCGAATCAACTTACAATTCTGAGTTATTACAGTTAATATCAACCTGACAATAAGCTACGTAGAAGGAAATCACTAGTCAGACTCTGTTAAAAGCTACAGTAGTGACAGTGTAGTGATAGAGAGAAGTACAGAAAGAGTAGTGGAGAGGTTGGGAAGTACAAAATAAGTGTTGGGATAGGAGATGCTCTCTGCGGAGCTTCATTGGATGTGAAATACGTCCCTCTTTTGTCTGTGACGGCCTTTCGATTGACTGGATACCTTTTAAATTTGTTACCTCCAGCCCCTTTTACACAGAATAATAAGCTTTTTTCTGCAATGTCAAAACATTCAACAGTAACATCTCTACCACTAATTACCGTATTTTCACGACTATAAGGCGCATATAAACGTCTTTTTTCCCCCTCGAAATGTGAGGCGCGCCCTATAGTGCGGTGCGCCCTATGTGTGTTGTTACTGCGGACTTTGTTGAGACCACCATGAGAACGTTAAAGGGGGAAGTGTGGGCGTGGACTGTTATGGCGTCATTTTTATGTCAAATTTTGTGAGAGTGCTTGTAAGACATTCTCACGAGCACATTATATTATTTCACACGCGCAAAAATTAACCTTCCCGCGCGCAGATACAGTATTCGCGCGCAAATTAAACAACCAAGAGTTGCACAAGTTTCTGCGAGCGAGCGCCTGAAAATGACGCCATACCGCACGGCACAGAAAACGACTGACAGCGAAGAAGGGGAAATTGGCGTGTCTGATTTAGCGCAGCTGTTTGATTCAGAAACAGAGGATTATGACTTTGATGGGTTTGATTAATACTAATAATAAATACATGAATAAAGCACAAACATACTCAGTTTTGCTCCCGCTCCATTTTTAAATACGCTGTAGAGGTATTTAAACGTAGTAGAGGATATGTACTGGTATATAAATCCCACGCCCTATAGTGCGTGTGTTAAATACAGTAATGGCACACATAACTGAGACTGCGCCTTTTAGTACGGTGCGCCTTATGGTCGTGAAAATACGGTACCTAATGTGGAAATATGACACCTGGGCTTATACATGTATAATATCAGCCCAGTCAATGTGTATATGAAACCAAATCACCTTCTTCTTTTCGTAACCGCATTAAAGGGTAGTGGCTACCCAGTTAAAAGGATAGAAAGAAAGAATG